GAATACAAGTGGTGAGAGTGGATATTCTTGTCTTGTTCCTATCCTTAAGGGGAAGGCCCTCAATGTTTCCTCATTCAGAATAATACTGGTGGTGGACATGTCATAAAAGGCTTTTATTGTGTTAAGATATTTTCCTTCTATACCTAATTTATTGAGAGTCTTTATCATGAAAGAATGTTGAATTTTGTCAAATGCTCTTTCAGCATCTATTGAGATAATCATATGGTCTTTGTCCTTAAGTTTGTTGATGTGATGTATCACATTTATTGACTTTTGTTTGTTGAACCATCCTTGCATCCCTGGGATGAATCCCACTTGATCGTAGTGTATAATTTTTAAAATATGTTGCTGTATTCTGATTGCTAAGATTTTGTTGAGGATTTTAGCATCTAGGTTCATCAAGGACATTGGCCTGTAATTTTCTTTTTTTGTTGTGTCTTTATCTGGTTTTGGTATCAGAGTTATGTTGGCCTCATAGAATGAGTTTGGGAGAGTACCATCTGTTTTAATTGTTTGGAATAGTTTCATGAGAATTGCTATTAACTCCTCTTTATAACTTTGATAGAACTCAGCTGTAAAGCCATCTGGACCCGGACTTTTTTTGTTGGAAGATTGCTAATTACTGCTTCAATCTCCTTGCTTGTTATTGGTCTGTTCAGGTTTTCTGTCTCTTCTTGGTTCAGTCTTGGTAATTTATATGTGTCTACAAACTAATTCATATCTTCTAGATTTTCAAATTTGTTGTCATACAGTTCTTTATAATAGTCTCTAATGATTCTTTGTATTTCTGTGGTGTCAATTGTAATGTCTCCCTTTTCATTTCTGATTTTTGTTATTTGGGTCTTCTCTCTCTCTCTTTTTTTTTTGTTTTTTGTTTTTTGTTTTTTGTTAACCTACCTAATGGTTTGTCTACTTTATTTATCTTCTCAAAAAACCAACTTTTTGTTTTGTTAATCTTTTCTATTGTTTTTTGAGTATTTCATTTAGTTCTGCTCTGATCTTAATTATTTCTTTCCATCTACTACCTTTAGGTTTGGATTGTTGTTTATTTTCCTTGAGGTGTAGTGTTAGGTCATTTATGTGAAATCCTTCCATTCTTTTGATATAAGCATTTATAGCAGTAAATTTACCTCTTAGTATGGCTTTTGCCATATTCCACAAGTTTTGGTATGATGTATCTATATTTTCATTAGTTTCTAGAAATTCTTTGATTTTCTGTTTAATTTCTTCTTGGACCCATAGGTCATTCAGGAGCCTATTATTTAGTTTCCATGTATTT